TGTGTGTTTTGTGTGTGTGTATGTGTGTATGTGTGTGTGTGTGTGTGTGTGTCGTTATACTTACTCTCCTTTCTCCACCCCAACTCTTTTTTTTTCTTTTTTCCATTTGCCTGTGATGTACTCGCCCACCACCTATCACGAGGTTACCTGTTATCTCCCATCGCTCTATCGCAGCCATCCACAAACGATCCGCTATGACTGAAGCCTGGCAGAATGGGGAAACGTTTACCTAAACATGGGCCCAAATCTCTCACCAGCACACGGGTCATTAGCCCCCCAGAACGTCGCTGCTAAATCAGATTAGTTCCTTTGGAGCCTTGGTCAGGTACTGGACGCGAGTGCTGGCGTCCGCTCAAGACGGGAATACGATATGTGCGCACCACGTAACGTCTCTTCACGCCAGAGCAATGCTATGGAGAACATTGGTTAGTCGCGTTCTGACGAATGTCTGCCTAACGTGCAACTGCTTTACTTTACAGGCATTTAAAACTCAGAACCAAGTCCCGTCGTATAAGAAAATTTGAAAAGTTAATCCTAAGAGGAAGATGAAGGTAACATTTAAAGAAAAAAAGTAGTGCAAATGTTTCTAAAAATAAAACATTCTCAGAAAAAAGCCAGAATGCTGCAATTAAAGGAGAATGTACAACGCGTAACATGATAATGACGTTTCTTTTCTCGACCATAACGAAACTATACAAAACAAAACCACAAACAAAACAGAAATGTATGCCAAAAACTATCCGCACAAAGTCATTAGAACAACCCACCAAAAGAACCAGACAAAGAAAATTCATTTTACTGAGTGTTCCTTGGCAAAGACATGAAGTTGAAGAAAGCTGAGGAGAAGGTGTAAAATGAAAAACGTTTATTCTTCTATGTTGGCAGGTTTTATCTTCACGCCTTCAAAAGTAATAAATGTTTATTTCCGAAGCTTGCCGAATGCAGTGCTTATCAGGGAAAACCAGAATACCTCCGTGCCAGTTGTGCCATAATTTGATAAGGAATGTTTTATCATATATGTCTTAAAGGGAATGAGCAAAAACTACCCCCCCCAACCCCATCCTCACAAAAAACAACCCCA